CTGTCATCTTTCTTTCTCTCTCTCTCTTCCTCACTCCTAACCTACCCAAGTAGGTAAAACATAAAATGAAAATGTTTAGTAGCCACAATTTTGAAACAAGATTCTGAGCCAGCTCAAAACCCAATCTGAGTGCACAGATTACAATTCAGATGAACCTGTTATCCTATCCTAAAAATACCCTATTGCTGAACTGCTTTATTTATGGCTTTTAGTTACAGCAAAAAAATATTGAGCTTCCTTCTGCTTTATTCATTGCTTAGTAAAATAGTTTTTGTGGTTATATGACTTTTGATCATATTAAATGAAAAGATGCATATGTTATTGTCCAATTTAAAACAAGTGCAAGATACGAATATAGAAATAAAAGTAACTGCAATTTTAGTTTTCAAATCTTCTCTTCCAGTTGATGCACTGCTATTTATATTATAGTTAATAACAACTAATTTTAATTTGATTTGTTAATGTAATTTGCCTTAATCTTTCAGAAGGATTCAGTGAAGCCACTTATTCAGGAATCCAGTTCTGAGTCCTATGGAAATATAAAGCAGAATGCCTCATGTACAGAGTCTTTATCCTGGGTAATTATATAGTACATCATCCATTGATTATACCAAACAAACAAATACTAAAAATATTACAGAGTCTCCACCAATGAATTTGTTTTAATGATAATATTGGAAACATTCTCATTAATATCTAAGTTAAGTATGTAATATAGAATGGAGACTTAAAATCATAAATTTTTATAGTGGGAAAATACATTGGAGATAATCTAGTCCAGTCCCCTGCTCAGTGCAAGATTCATTGGAGTCGGGGTTGGCAAACCTTACAGCCCATTGACCAGATATGACATGCCACCCAAAATCATCCAGCCCATGGTCTCAGAAAGGAATATATTTACCTGATTTGTGTGTGTGTGTGTGTGTGTGTGTGTGTGTGTGTGTGTGTGTGTGTGAGAGAGAGAGAGAGAGAGAGAGAGAGAGAGAGAGAGAACCCATCACTTCCTTGGGTGGCCATTTTTGTAACAACTTCATAAGCCACAAGCACAGGCAGAGCAACAAACCTCCACACGAACTGTGAGGTGGAGGTGGAGCTATGAGAGAGAGCTGGAAGATGACTTTCTAGCCTCTGGTGAAGACTTATAGTAAAAGAAAGCTCAACACTTAACATGGCCCATAAGATAATCCTCTTGATATCTAGTATTTCTCAAATTAGTTTTCCAGTGTCATGCAGGGTATGGTGTTAAATCATTGAAAAGGTTTCTTGAATTGTACAGTTAAAGCATTGGTATTAATTACATTAATGGATTATTGCAAAATTCATTGCATTATTTTGTAATATAAGGATCTTGAGCTTGATATTTGATAGTTATTATTTATTGTTGCTTATAAATATTAAAAACAGGAAAAAAGAAAAAGAACATAAACTGCTTAGAAAAATAGCTAACGTTCCCCTTTATACTCCCCAATTTGCAGTATTTATAAGCATTTCAACCTCCTTAGAAACCATACTTAATTTGTATCTGCCTTGCTATGTGGGAACTAAGCTTTTAACTATAATTATAATCTATTTTGTCAGTCTTTTGTATCCAGAAGATTAGTAGAATGATTATAACTGGTTCCTCTTTTTCCAAAGAAACAATGTAATAAGGAAGAGCAAGTCCTTAATCCTAAACAGGATGCCCAGAATCATCAGAGTGCTATCCAATTGGCTTCATGGAACCAACACTCAGCTAATGTTGAGGAAGATCTGTTTACTGATTCCCAGTCAGAGGTAATTGTTATTCATGTCATCCAAAACAGACTTAGGCAAACTTAATGATACATTGAATATATTTTATTTGATTTTACAACTAGGTTGTAGTACCTTTCTGTGATCATTTAATATCAAATAACATGTAAGTTCTTATCCCAAGAAGCTAGCAATAATTATTCATGTTTATACTTTTGGTTTCTTTGTGCTTTCTAAGCTGCTTGGAGGAAAAAATAATCTTGGAAAGCACATATGAGAAAGAATGTCTTTTTTGATATATACATTTCAAACTCATAAATCCATCAAACAGGTTAAAAAGTGGAATAAAGTATTGTAAAGATGCCACTATTTGGCAAAATTGTCTTTTGATGTGTATCTTGCCTGAGTAAAAATTACATAGTTAATGAAAGAATAAATGTATGATTTTTTTTCCTAGCTGTTAAGTCAGTCTTCAAAGAGGAAATTACCAGAGTGGTTTGGAACATCAAAGGAAATAATTCCTCATGTTAAAGTATCTAAAAAATCCAGAGGAGGAAGTAAAGGACTCTTCAGTTGAAACTGGAAATGGCACAACAATGTATTTATACATAACTTCATGAAGATGAGATTCTTCTACTTTGTTCTGTCTCAGTCAAGTGAGTTTTCCATTAATACCTCTTCCAGAAAAATTTATGGGACTGATCAAACTCTGAAAGTGAGCCCAGACAAAGAAAGAAGAAAATGAGTAATAGTTTAAATCAGAGTGCACATTGCACAAAATATTCTTCACAATATATGTGTTATGTATTGATGTGGTGAATTGTTTCTTTTCAAATTTAATCACCTATTAAGGAACATATGTGAACCTGTATTCAGAAACAGCTGACTTCTCAAAATACATGTAATATATGGTTCCTCTTCAAATATTATGTTGACATTTAGGAGAACTGTGTTTTCATGAAATGGGCATGCCCATATTTGTTTATTTGTAGTACACTATTTTTAAGGAAAACATTCCGGGGGAAAATATTAAAAAGCAGGATACCATGTGCAATGCTACTTAATTTTTTTTAATTGTTAACTTTTTTTTCTTCTCTTGAGATTACTTTTGGCACTTTCCTACAAAAAATAAAATTTGTTTATAATTAAAAGTTGTGATTCAGTTCAGTGTTTGTGTTCAAAAGAGATTAGCTCTTGATGACTAGATGGACATATAGTTTTCTTGACAAAATGCAGAAGTACTTTGCCATTATTGCCTTCTGCAATATTTTTTGACATCTGCATCTACCGTAGTACACTGGGATTTCCTGGTGATCTTTCATCCAAGAGAGATGAGAGCAATCATCCAGTTTGATTGCTTAGCTTTTTTGAGGCTAGATCTTTTGTTTGGGTGAAGTAAATAGATGTATGTTTTAAAATTCCTAGCCTTAAATGATAAGACTCCTAAAAAAAATCAAGCTTGACAATTCATCTTCATTCTTCTCTGACTCCCATAATTATAGTTAACATTTATCCTGTCTGTTCTATATATGGCTCACAGATAAACTATTACAATTATTTATAGCTCATTTTTCTGTCTGAAAACAACTTTATAGAAGTTGGCTTAAGACAACTTAGAACAGGGGTGTCAAACTGCCAGCCCATGGGCCGGTTGCATCATGTGGAGGCCACACCCACCCCAACTCCGGCAATGGGAAAAAAGTTGTGACACGTAACCTGTGACCTAGAACATTTAGAAATCTAAGTATCTGACTAACCATAATACTATGAGAAAAATGAGTTACAGTAAAGTGGGGTGCAGTCAAGATACATATGTGGGGTGTCTCGTAAGGAAACTTCTCTACAAAGTTATCCCATTGAATATTGTGATGGATTTCTAAAATGACCGGATGCTACCTACTAGCCTTCAAACCCTTGCCAGTCCATGATTGCTTTACTAACATATTTGATTACAAAGGTTATCAGAAGCTTTCGAACGATGTAACTTAGGTTCAGAGAGGTTTTATTTTGCTGATTGTTTTTTTAAAAAAAAACAAAAACAGGCAAGACTTCTCAAACAGAGTCAAATTGCTTTTCCCAAAATTTACATAGCTTTGGAAAAGGTTTAGATAAAAGCCTCTATGTGCATTTAGCATAAAATAGTATGATAGAGCAGTGTTTCTCAACCTTGACCATTTTAAGGCATGTGGACTTCAACTCCCAGAATTCCACAGCCAGCAATGCTGGCTGTGGAATTCTGGGAGTTGAAGTCCACATGCCTTAAAATGGTCAAGGTTGAGAAACACTGTGATAGAGCACTCATGGAAGTGAATGGGATCAGCAGAAAGCAGACTAAAATTTAAGTAACAACAGCCAAGCAAAATGCTGTTATTTTGTACAGAAGCGTTTTACTAGGTCTAGCCCAAAATGCTCGGGCTTTGGGGATTTTTCCTGTGGAATTTGCTTCCCTCTGAGATCTAGAGCCCTGCATCTGCACTCTTACTATCTACTTCTCTACTGCTTGCAGGGGTTCTCAACCTTGGCAACTTTAAGACTTGTGGACTTCAACTCCCAGAATTCCTCAGCCAGCAAAGCTGGCTGAGGAATTCTGGGAGTTGAAGTCCACAAGTCTTAAAGTTGCCAAGGTTGAGAACCCCTGTTTGTAGAGCAAGTGCCTTCTATATTTCGGCAAGCTATGCAAGCTTTTGCTGCCCGGGGGATTCTGGGAGTTGAAGTCCAAACATCTTAAAATGACTAAAGATGAAAAACGTGGCTAAACCACAGATTAACAATATAACTTCCAACAAGCTCTAATTCTGCGGAGAGGGGGAGCAGCGCTTCGCTCCGCAAACGACTCCATGTTGCCATAGCAATTGTGCTACTTCCGGACCTTGGCTCTGACTCTGACGCAAAATGCAGTCGACCGGCGACAGGCAGGATGGGCGCTCTTGAGTAGGAACTGAGCCAATCGGAAAGCAGGAGCCGGTGGGCTCCCTGGATGCGCCTGCCTTCCTCTTGCCGTCGGAGTCGCCTCACGCGCGAGGTGAGTGGCTTTGGCGCGAGGTCTCGAGGCGGGGTTGGCGGGATTCAGAGCCGTTCGGGAGGAGAAGGGGAGAGTGACGACGTTGTGCCGCCGCCTTGGTTGCGGAGTTGCGGAGTTGCGAAGCTCGACTACCTCAGGGGACCGAAGAGCTCAGCGGTCCAGGGGGAAAAGCGGAAGGCGGGAGAATTCTGGGCATGTCAACAAGGAAACGCCGCTTTCGCGTTTGAAACACGGCGGCTCGCGGGAGCCTTTGAACTGAGCGGTGTGTAGTTTCGTGAGGGGAGGCCAACGAGGCAGCCGAAGATCCTTTCCCGGCGGCGTCACCGAGTCGGGGGTATCCTTGGTGGACGTCCCGATTATAGGCTCGAATGGATTCTCCTGCCCTGCGGCTGCCTCCCCTTAGGGAATTCCCGACAGTCAGTGGCTCAACCCCCCTGCTTAAATACCTTTTGCGAAGGAGGATTTGTTCTCTAGCTCAGGGCTTTTCAACCTTTTCACCCATTGTACCACTTTTAGGATATGGCAACATCCGAGTACCACCAGTCGCCTAGCAAGGGGTCGAAAACTTGGTGACCAAAAAAAAAAAAAAAGGAAAAAAGTGATGAAGTACAGGTAGTCCTCGACTTGCAACAGTTCGCTTAGTGACTGTTCGAAGTTACAATGGCACTGAAAAAAGTGCCCCCCAAACCACAGCCGAGCAAGACACCTGCCTGCCCGCCCGGCGGTGCTCTTCCTCCTGTCCGAGGTTTTCATTGTTGTGAGCATTTCCGTTGAGGATTGGCAGCGGGGGTGGGGTGGGGTGGTGTTTGGTTTTTATTCCCCTCGTCTGCTGGGTGGTTGCAGCAGGTTTTGGTCACTTCACATGACCCTGGGACACTGTGACCGTCATAAATATGAATCAGTTGCCAAGCATCTGAATGTAAATTACAAGACCCTGGAGATGATGTAACATTCCAGCTGATCGGCGCTTCTTCTGGGCTCAGCAGAAGCGCCAGGATCAGTGCTGTTTTCCAGCTGATTGGTGCTTCTTCTGGGCTCAGCAGAAACTCTAGGATCAGCGCCGAGCTCCAGCTGGAGCCTGGCGCTGATCCTGGTGCTTCCACTGAGCCCTGACAGCCCTGCAGCTCCAGCCATCTCTCGCTCAGGCTTGTGCGGTGCTGTCACCGGTTCAGCTCATTCCCTTCCCCCACTACTTTTCTAGGATGTTTGCGTACCACCTGCCAGGTGCCAATGTAGCACAGGTGGTACCCGTACCACTGGTTGAAAAGCCCTGCTCTAGCTGAATGGCTAGGACATCCAGCCGAAATTAAATATCCATCCTTTATTTCTTGTCCTTTCCCCTAGACTCGAGCAGCAGACGTTTATGCAGGGCAGTCTTTCAGATATACTCCAGATTTTAGCTGTTCCTAAAATAAGTTGCCTAGGTACTACGACATTCTCAATACTCAAGAGTAGAATGTAAACAGACCTGCTGCTAACGCAGCTTAAAACTGCATCCATGTTTTGTAATAGTTGTGTGGTATTGCCAAGATAATGTTCTCCTTGATTGCCACTGAGACACGTATGACATAAAATACTGTACAAATAAAGTAAAACTTGTTACACTAAAATGTCTAAACTATATGCACATGTACTTCCCAAACTAAGTCTTGCCTGTCTTACACTGCTGCTTTTACCAAAATACATTTGCACTTACTTGTTTGAAATGTGGATTCCTGAAAAAATTCCTATGCACTAGTGAACTTCGCTGTAACTATCTTTCATGGCAATCCTTTATTTTTGGGAAAGCATGTTTATATTCAAAGTTTGCTATCCTCATTACAGGTGGTCCTCTGGATAGCATTGCACATATCTCCCAGCTTCAATCACTATTGTTTATGCTTGCTGGTCTGTTGGAAATTGCTTAATTATCACCTTTAAGGCTACAATTTGTGTACCCATTATGAATCTACTGTAGCTATGGAAATCACTCAACAGAGGTGTTTTGCAGCTCTTTTAAATTCTATAAATCAGCTTTATCTTCATAAACTTCTAGCTATCACTTGGTTTTCCCACCAAGAGAAATGGCTATGCATACAGATAGAGCCAGCCAAGGACAATTTATGAAGTAGGATAACAACAGATTTTGGAAGGTTCTATGTCTCAGTCAGATTTAGAATGAAAAACATACATAACTTGAATTTACAGATCATGTTAAAGCAAGTTTAGCATCATATATGAACTCAGTCATATGTAAAATATGTTTTATACCTTAATATTTTATGTCTACTGTAGGTTCTTTCCAACAATGTTTTAATGCAATATATTAATGCAGATATTTTCTTCTGAATCTATGCAACAATTGCTTAAAAATATGGAAATATGATCATACATGCCTTAAAAATACAGTAGATGCATTGTATGTTTAAAGAAGTAGCTTAAATGGCTCCCACTGTGATGCTGCTTTCAACTTCACTGAGATTATTGCAGACCTACTTTACAGAATTGTTTTAAGGAAAAAAAAACCTGTCCAATCCAGAATTTTCCAAATATGTTCATAAGTTGTCTTTCTAAATATTAGGAAGAAGTTTTTGCTTGTTTTCAAATAATTGATTTTTATTATGTGCGATGAAAACGTAATACACAGTTTAGAGTCAAAATTATAATAAGTTAAAATTTGAAGTTGATGCTTTCCTGAAAACTGGTTAAGCATTTATTTACTTTAATTACTATAATTTTATATTATCTTTCTGAAAGTGCAAAGAAAATGGGCTAGTAAAAACATTTGCCTACCAAATACATAGGTTTCTTATTGTCCCCAATTAATGTAACTATCTTGCTTGGAGATAATGAAGTAAAGTACCACATACATGTTTCTCTCTCTCTTCATTCTATTTTGTATTAATGTGTATTTACATTTGGAGAATGCTACAACAATTCTTAAGATGGCATATTCAGTTACCTTTTTTGCAAGCATAGATTTGTCAGGGTCTAAAAATAAAACATTTTTGTTTTGAGGTTCAAACCTACAATATTAAATTAAGAATGGTTTTGGTCTGTTAATAATTATGTGTCATTTTTTCTGTGACAGAATTATGGATCCAAACTTGTTACGAGAACGAGAACTTTTCAAGAAACGAGCACTCTGTACACCTGCTGTAGAGAAACGTCCAGCACCTTCTTCTGATTCCTCATCTTCTAAAAAGAAGAAAGGCAAAGTAGAACAGAGTGGTTCATCAAGTTCAAAACCAAATACAGGTTAGTGGGGGCAGAGGGAAATTTAAAATAAGCAATTGATGCATGTACCTCTTGGTTGATAGGTGCAGGTAATGGAACGTTGACTTGCATAGATAGCTGGCATAGAATAAGGTGAACATATTGGCCTAAAACTGAATTTTGGATGTGGCATGCCGACTAAAATGCATGTGAAAACTGATAACCATTGCTCTTACTGTTAGCAGGGAATGCTGTATGTAGCATGACTGTGATTATGGCTGGTAACTTAGTCTACTCCTACTCTAGTCATTCAACATACCTAAAATCATTAGGTGAAAGTCTTGATTGGCCATGAGGGGTGATGAGGATAAATATGTCATTAGTTGGCAAGTCTAACATTTGCAAGATTACAACTAAGAGTGTATGTAAATGTAAAGAGCATAAAGAGCATGAGTTAATGAATAAATTGTATAAAAATAAATTTGTTTTGTATTGAAACTAAGAGAGAAATAAAGGATGTAATAATCTGAATGAAGGTAGTTAGATTTTATGGAGTGGGATTGATGAATGCTTGCAATGAAATGAAGATATAATTTTAATTATGAAAGAGCTAAATGTATGTCAAAAGGATGAATGTCATCTAAATTATGGATACAAATAGAAGTTGTAATCCATGAATTGTTGATAATTGTATGTTATGCTCCAGTGTGTAATGCTAATGGTAGAACCAGAAATGAGTATGGAAATGTGTTCATCACTCCATGTGGATCCAGGAGAAAAATTATTCTGCAAGGTGACATGAATGGTTGGGAGAAAAACAAGTAGAGAAAAAGTGGACTATTCAGAGAACCAAGAATAGCAATAGCAATAGCACTTAGACTTATTTACATATATTTACAGCACTCTGAGTGATTTACAATGTCAGCATATCGCCCCCAACAATCTGGTTAGTTTCTGCTTTAAAAATATGTTTGTTTTAATTATATAAATATTTAGCCATATATGGCAAAAAAAGTATAAATGTACAAGCATGATTGGTTTGAATATGATGAAAATTGAAAGACTAAGTGAAGGATGTAAAGTTGATTGGAGGTTCTGAATGATGAATAGAGCATTTCCTGATAAGACTGAAGAGTAGATCTTGTAAAAGAGGTATCCTGAAAGAAAAGGAAAGAAGTGAAAGTATAATAGCTATAGGAGAGCGAATATGATACTCTATAAAAAAGATAAGGAGTGGCAGGGGGCAATAAAGAAAGTTTATGTGGAAGTTCTGTAGAATAATAAGAATTGTGGTATTGAGTACCATGAAAGAATGTATAGTTATAGTAATAGGAAGTATGGAAAAGGATTCTTGTGGAATGATGAAAGAGGCTATGTAAGAGCGATCACAGAAATAATACATTTTGGAAATGTGTGAAGAGAGTTAAACATGGAGTTTCCAGTGAATAAAATTTAAAAAATTAAATGAGATGATTTGGATTGAAACTGAAATCAATACCATAAGTGAATTGTGTGGGAATAACAGTGATATATTGAAATGTGGAATTGAGCTGAATAATAATAATGATAAAGTTGGAAGCGACCTTGGAGATCATCTATTACTGTACATGTAACTAACCAAGACAAAAATAATGAAAAGGAAGTCATAAATGCATAAGAAAGTTGAAAATGGCTACAAGTCTGAAGAAATGTTAAAATATGGATGTGATTTGCTCATGGTGTAGCTGTGGGACTTGTTTAATATATAGGTGAAGAGGGCATCTGTATCTGGTAGTTGGAGAATGCTGCTAATTGTTTCTCTACAAAAGGAAAAGTGCCAATAATGCTAAAATTCTACTTGAAAAGCTGCCACAGGTGACAAAAAATTTGGGAAGTACAGTGCAGTTTTATATTGAACAGGTATTTCCATAGCAAACCTTTGCTCTTCAGTAGGAAGAAAATTTACTGTATATTTTGAAAATACATGCAATTGTGATAAAATCAGTAGATTTGAATTATGGAATATTTTGCATGAAAGTAAAGTTGGAAAATAGTTGCCGAATACCATGTAAGCAGTATATGATGAAAATGGATATTGTCCCATTGGTTCCTTAAAATATTTATAGATAAATATAGAAGAAATTGTTGAGGGTCTTTGGAAGAATATTAATTGGATATACAGACATTAGTGTACATTTGCAGCCGGCTCATGCTGTGTTGTTAATTGAAATTCTGAATACTTACAACCAGCAATAAATCATATGATATAATGAGATATATGGAGTTTATACATAAAAGGTGAAAAATTAAATCAAATTGATGAATTTGTGTACACTGATGAGAATTTATACTAAAAATGAGAAAATGGACGGAGAAATTTTAACAAGTGTAAATGTTCATAGAAAGATAATGGGTGACGTGCTCTGTTGAAAAATTGTTTGACAAAAGGAGTAAAAAAGTAAAAGGAGTAAAAATGGCTGTTTACAAGAGCATGCACCTGCCACTTTGTTATATGGAATTTGAGAGGACTTGAATATGCTAAAGAAAACAAAGGAAATTTAATTTAATGGACAGGAATTATTTAAGTGTATTTGTTCAAACAGGAAGAAAGTCCTGCTAATTTTTGCAATAGCACAAACAAATTAAAAAGCTATTATATAATAAAAACAATCTTTACCATTCTGTCACTTCTTGTTGCGTAAATGTGCTTGCTTGGTTTCTCCTTCCCTTTTTTAATCTTTATGCTGATGATCTTATTGTTCAGGCTGATAAAATAAGCAACATAAGTGGTAGATGTGATGAAGAATAACGTGGCCAAGGATTATAATCCTAAACTGGTTTGGCAAGATTTCTGTTGACTGAGATTGAGAAAAGACTGCTGTCCTATTTTATGATCCCAAATGTTTCATATCCTATATAGCACAGATTTTGGCATGGAGGGTTTGGTGTACAGCTGCTGTTTTATGGCAATCCCATGTTTTTAATATTCCCTTTAAATCAGGGGTATCAAACTGCTGGCCCATGGGCCGGATGTGTCATGCCAAAACCACACCCACTCCATTGCTGGCAATGGAAAAAAAGTTGTGATACGTCGTGACATGTCACGTGACGTTGCGAGTTTGACACCCCTACTTTAAATCAAAATAAGGAAACAAGGTTATTGTCATATTTGCTTTATGTTTTTAATGTATTGGATTAAATATTAAAAATGAAAAGCTGAATGGATAAGAAAGCATAAACATTTCCTTTGGGTCTGTTTCTTAGCTGACTTTATCAGTACTTGTGAAGGGTTGACATGATCACTGGATAATTAACTATGGGGAATATAATTACTGAGAAACTAGGAAGTGCCTAAGCACTGAGAAACAGTGTTTTGATGTACAACTAATAATAATCCATATCTTTTACATATCTCATATTTAACAGATTTGTAGAAGATTATTTTGAACCCTTGTGTTGGCATAACCCCTTGTTTGAGATAATGGAGTATCAAACTGCTATTTTGATACATTAAAGATATAATCAAATTGATTGCATGGCAAATGATACTTTTATATTCTGTGGTATCTTAATATGCTTTAATTTATTTTGACTGCATTTTAAATAAAGCAAAAAGCAATTCATTAATTGAACAAAAATGTATTTAATCAGTACTAGTCAACAACAGTTCATTATAAAAGGAAACAACCCTCTGTTTTCACACCACATTGTGACATTACCCATTAGCAAGTATTTTGTAACCTTTTCAGGTTTCTACCCATCAGCAAAAAAGGGAGTGCTAATAGTGATATTTAAGGCTAAACAGCATCTGAATTGCTTGGTCCTAAAATACAAGAGGCTTCAATATAATGTTGAACATCTGTTTGTTTCTGGTGCTGAAGATCATTCCACCACTACACCACTTCCGTTTCATGCTTTCTGAAGCTGTTCATCATAGATCTAACAGGATTGGGTTCATTTTCTAAGTCTTTCATGGTCTTGTTTTTAACGCAGCAGCAACAGTCGAGCAGCTCATATAAAAAAGCTAGTACCACCAAACATATTACAGTAAATATAAATATGACCAGGATGATAAAACAGGCAGTGTTCCAGTTGTCGTGGAAAGGGTAAATTTTCTGCACTTGAAAGCCAAGATATTGATAGAGGGATGTGGTTTCATTCCAGCGGCTAGTGTTGAAAGTTGCCATGTTTGGAAGTTCCTCTGATTTCTCTCTCTGCAATAAATTAAAATATATAGTTAGGTTCTTTTCTCCTTCACCAACAAACTAAAACTGGAAAAGCTTGTTGTTTTTAGTTTACTAAATGTAATCATAAATGTTTCTTTATAAAACACAACTAGACAATTTTCCCAGGGTCAATGTCCACGATTACCTTCTGGTTTTCAGGTGATATCACCAGAAAGACAATGACAACCCTTAAAGGGGCAAAATTGTTTTTTTTAGCCATATTTCAGGGAGTTTTAGAACTTTAAGGTTAGAAATTAGAGTAATTTACCTTCTTTCTCCTTTGAGAGAGAAAGTTACATTTTGGTACCAAATTTTGGTAGTGGAAGCTTCCCAAAGAATAAACAAATAGAATACAGCCATTAAAAACACAAAAACAAAAGCCCTGTTTTTAAAATAGTGCTAAAGGGTCAGCAAGCCAATTTTTTTCATAGATCATCATCGGTTTCCTGATTAAGTAAGCTGGGAGTATGCTGTTTCAATAAATACCAGTAGAAAAACTTTTGCCTGAAGAGCAAGATAATAAACAATAATAAAAAACTCTGCTTCTGTTCTTTTTTTTTTTTTTACAAATGATGTCATAATAAAATAAAATCTTCAAGCTGCCCCCTGCATTCATTTTGGAATGTGACTGGCATGGCAGTCATACTCATTCTCAATAATCATTTGCAATTCAGTTCCAGTTGAGAATGTGATTCTTTATAGCTCACAGCATAATTGTATATGACTGCACAAATGCATTGAATTTATTGGGATTACTCCCAGATAAATCACTATGGTGTAGAATTATGTTTTCAAAATGTTTTTTTGAAGAAGCATTTGAAGACATTTGCCGATATAAATTGACTTACCAATGCTGCAGTATTGCAGTTGTTGATTTCTGATTTTATCTTTATCGATGAAGCCAAAGTGTTTGGCATTGATAAAGCTAAATGTTCACTATGCTGATTTTCTGAAAAATCTCAGTTTGCCAGTCACTGGATCATAAAGCAATGCTCTAAGGGTGCTATACTGAGAGGATGCTATGTTGCTGGGCTTGCAGAAACAGTGCCTTTCAATTCAGAGCTGGCAACATTATAATATCAGGAGGGACAGGCATGTGGGAAGAGGCCAAGGATGTTGTGGGTACCAACAAAGGTCACATAAAAGGCTATTGGGAGGATGCATATAACTTGCTCACCTCAGCATAAACTATAATGCTTAACTTTTAATGGACTCATTGCTAGAACAATAACAGCAGGGTTAGATCAATGTCACTCATATTGAATTACATAATTTCTCCCCTTTCCAGCTACTATTTAAATCAAAACTACAAAGAGGAATAGGAAAGGTAAAATGGTAAAAAGTCTATTTCTGAAACTGGGAAAGCAGAATTTAATTGAATCTAGAAAGGGTTTTCTACTCAGTTCCTAGAAAACCTTGTAATTTATGGGAAACAATTTCCTTTTACAACTAGGCTACAGAGCAGGGAAAAGAACTGGGTGGAAGTGATAAACCTTGCTCAAATCATACTATCTTTGAAAGCTATGTGCAAGCCTCTTAATTTATTATCCATGAAAGAAAGTATTTAGAAGAGTTCAATAACGACGCTTTTTCTAGCAGTATTTTACTTTTCATATATAATGATATCCAGATGATGCTGTGAACGTTGGCCCTCCAAATGTCCTTTCCCAATGTTGGTCATTATAGGAGCCAGAGGATATCTCACCCGTCCTTTACATATCAGCCACATTGTTATAAGACAGTAGAGAGTTTTAAGCAGTCCATTTAAGTGCCTGAGGAATGTAATAGAAGTCACAATCTGGTTCAGTGCCCTATTAACCACACCTACTCTGCTGTTTCATTTTCTTGTTTCCACGAGAACCTTGGAGAAGTCATATCTCTGAGAAAAAAACAACAGCGAGGAAGAAGCTGCCCACTCACAGTAGAATGAAAAGCCATGTAGGATCATGGGATTGTTTCAAGGGAAAAAAAAACTTATCATAGTTGATATTTGCCATTTCCTAGAAAGTTTAGATTTGAATTACAGACCATGGAAGTGTTTTTCAAAAACAATTCAAAATCTTGGAAAGAAACAGAACACTACTTTGTAATGTAAGTAGATTTCTTCCCAGCTTTTATTAATTCTAGTTACTGTATTAGGCAAGAATTGCAATTTCCTAAGGGAAGAATGTTTTAGAGCAGATACCACTTCTGTTCTACTTGTATCTTAAATTGTTTTTGCAGTCTAGGACAATAATCCCCTTCATAGGGTAGCTCTAAAGTCTATGCAAACCTGAAAATGGGATGGTGGGAAAGCAACCAATGGTAGAATTTCTTCCCAGGAAAGCCTCCCTGGTCTCAGCCATAACTGTGCAACTCCTCCATTTGGGTCACGAAGATAAATAGGATATATGCATAACATGATGGTTTAAAGCTTTAGTAATTATGTCTGCCAACTGATACCATCTATTCCACTCATTATTTTCTCAGGTGTCAAGTTAATTCCTTCAAAAGAGAATGCCAGAAAATTTCTAAAGCTTTGTTTTATGTTTTATGGTCAAGTCAGTCTGCCAGGTAGTGATAAGAATTCCAGCTAAACTGTTACAAAATCATCAACTGGGGACTGACTAAACTATATGTCATAAGCATCCTACACAGAGATGCTTCTGTTGTAGCTTTGTTAAATTCTTAGGTCAGTGATTCTCAATCTTTTCTTCACGACGGACCCCCTTTAAATGCCTTTTGTGGGCCCCCTTTAAATACCTTTTTTTGGGCACGGACCATGGCCACAGACCCTCAAGGCTTAAGATTTAAATCATAACATTTCTTCAAGCCTTCCTGCAACCCCCATGATGACATCATGGCCCCCAGAGACCATAGGGTGAGAACCACTGTCTTAGGTGTAAATGTATCCTTTACTAGTGTAATATTTATCTGGATCAAGTTGAATAGGAATTTACGGTTTAAGTAATACAAAAATATCTGTAACAAAAAGAAACTAGATTCAGTGTGATGACCAGAAGAGTCCTTTGGATGTCAAATCCAAAGTAATGGCTTTGTTCAGAGCTTCTTCTGAATCAGATTGAATAGAAAGAATGAACAGGAAAATCATCACAATGCTACATTTCATGTATTTATTTCTCTGAGAACCGGGTTTCTATATGGCACCAAAAGAAACTGAATTAAAGATAGTTTTTCATATTTTCCTGGGAAGAAGACCAACTCCACGTGATTACTAATCTCTAGTCAAAGATCACTGAAAGTGCACTTCTGGAGTGACACCAGTAGCCAATGTATTCTAAACTAATTTTCCAAAATGATAAATTAGATTTCTAAACAAGCGGACTAAGGAATTGTTCCATTTAAACCATGTGAAAATTAATGAGCTATCATATCTGGATTGCAAAAGGGTAGAGAATCACTACATAGCAAAAAAAAGTATAGAAAACTTAAAATTGCTTCTATCTAGTGGTCATCCAGGTTTCTGCTACCCAGATAAGGTAACCCTATGTTTGAACTTATTTAAAATTGGATATAAAGAAGATTGTTGTTTTTTCTCCTTTCCCATTCACAAGTAACTATTGATTTGGCTCAGAATTCTACATGGGGGTAGAACACTCATTGAGATCTGAACAGACTGAACTTTTGTATGAATTTTCATGGCATTTATGTTTCTAGTTAAGTCACTCTAAAATATTCCTACTTTCTTCATACATTGGTCTCACTTCAAGCCTTGGAATCCAGCTGTGGCCTAGTGGTTAAAGTATTGGACTAGGTGCAGGAAGATCCAGTTCAAATTCAAGTTCAGTGAACACTCATTGAATGAAAGGAGGATCTACCTTATACTTTAAATTTTAAAAGGGGAACAAAGAGGTAGAATGTTTAGAAAAACCCACAAAAAGATTACATTTAAACAGCCTTGAAACAAACATAAGGATTGTTACTCTATTTTTTATTTAAATTTTCTTATAAGTTTAAAAGAACAGAACACAGGCTAATGCACAATATAGAAAGCAAACAAAGAAAAAGACAAAGAAAAGACAAAAGTACAGAACGAAAAGATTAAAATAGAAAGAAACAGCTTCTGATTTCCTCTACAGTAAATATGATTACAAAATTAACTCTTACTATGATTAAGAATCCACTTTTTTCCTAATCAAAACCATAAATCATAAGTGGATTTTTTCTGTTTCACGCAAAAACGTGTATAAGGGCAGCCATAAATATAGATATTGTCTTTAATCAAGGAAGTCAGTTTAGCCATCTCTGCAAGTTTAATCATCTTCACCAACAATCCCCTTATTGTAGCAGTGTTAAATTTTTCCACTTTTGACCATATAGTAATGTTGCTGAAATTGTCATATATAAAAAGCAATATAATCTAAAAGGAAAATGTCTTGTTTCAGTTGAATTGTTATTCTAGATATACAGTATAAAGGATATATAAAAATTGTATAAAATTATAGGACAGGAGCAGCATGTATCTTTACTTGTAACTCCCTAACTGGTTCTGTCCCTCTTTGAGAGCAATAGTATGCACTGAAAGCCATGTGTTCCATTTAACCACAATAGTTTCCTTTAAGTTTACTGCAGAATTGACAGAAGAGCTGCATATGTTCCAAATATAGTTTGCATATAATAATAATATTAATATTAATAATAAAGTTGGAAGGGAACTTGGAGGTCATCTAGTCCAACCCCCTGTTCAGGCAGGAAACCCTATACCATTTCAGACAAATGGCAATTTACTATTAGAGGCAACAGTGATAAGAGTGAAAATATTTAGAATACATTTAAACTAGAATTTGGGTCAGGGAATATAGAAAGGTATTAAGTTAGCTAATGTAAATCTCCTTCAAGTTGACTTCTACAGCTGTGTTGTTGTTTTTTTGCAACAGTTGTCTTCAGGCCTGTTTTGCCTAATAAGAGAAACCAGTCTGTTTTTCACGATACAGGAAAACGTTAATATTCAAAGTTTTTCTGGGAAAGATCCCTGAATATTGAAATTTAATTTGGGTTGAAAAGGTAGAGTATATTAGTTTTTCACAGCATACAATTATTTGACACAGATATTTGGTGATAATATGACTATACTGTTAATTGCAATATTAAGCTCTGCAAGTGTGCAAAAGTGAAAATACAACACATTTTGGAATTTTTAGTATTTAAGAAGGAGGAAATATAATATTTCCTAGCTAGGCAGTTTTTCATAAAAATAATCGTTACTTGTTTTATTTTAACTCTTACTTTGATAAGAAGATGAGACATGTATTATAATACTAATTAAATTCATAATATATTTCTATATCCATGGTGGCCATTTTTGTACTGGGAGGTTTAAAATTTTGAAACAAACCATGTTCTGTCAGTTGCTTATCAGAAGAACCGCTCTACAGATCATGCACTTTCTTGTGTGCTTCATCTTAGTTTGGTGCACCTGGAGGAGGAGAATACTCACGAGTGAATGCTGTCTGTTAATTTTAGTTCAGCATTCAACATAATCATTCCTCAGCATTTGGTGAACAAACTGAGCCTATTATATTTTAATACTGCTTTACGTAACTCGATACTTGACTTCCTTATTGATAGGCCGCAGTTTGTGTGAATTAGAAGAAAACTTTCCAATTCCATCTTTTTGAGTACAGATTCCCCATAGGACTCTGCTTTGAGTCTGTTACTGTTCATCTTGATGCCTCATGACTGCTGTGCTAAGTCTGTTACGAATCATATTGTGAAGTATGCGGATGACATGGCAGTGGTGGGTCTTATCCAGGATGATAACGCAGATTCTTATAGGAAGCAGGTGAAGTCTTTGGTCGATTGGTGCAATAAAAATAACCTGGTTTTGAATGTTAATATAACAAAAGAGATCATTGTTGATTTTAGAAAGAGCTGGCGTAGTCATACTCCACTTTGTATCAAGGCTGCAGCTATGGAGGCAGTATTTTAAGTACCTGGAGGTGCAGATAACTACAATCTGACTTGGTCTCTTCATATGTTATCTTTAGTGAAGCATGCAAACCAGTGTTTCCATTTCTTGTGCTGATGAGGAGACCACATCTTTCTCCTTCTGTCCTGGCCACTTTTACAGAAGCACGATTGAGAGCGTTTTAACAAAGGGCATAACTCTTTGATTTACTAGTAGCAGTGCCTCAGATAGAAGGTCCATACAGAGAGTTGTAAGGACAGCTGAGAAGATTATAGGAAGTTCACTTCCTGTTATTCAGGATCCTGCTTATACAGTAAGGGCTATGTGCTTAGAGCTCGAAACATTGTTAGTGACCCCACATACCTACTTCATGATCTATTTCTGTTGCTCCCCTCTGGGAGGAGGTTTCGAAGTATTTATAGCAGAACTACTAGATTCTGTAACAGCTTTGTTCCTTGTGCCGTCCGTCTTGTAAATTTGCAAGATTCTTTTTTTTCGACGTATACATTAGAACTAGACTATGATGTTTCTCTGTGTCGTGTGTGTCTGTGGGTATATGCATAATGGTAATTTTTTTTTAGAGCTGAATGCAACGAAATTTGCTGATTAGTGTGTATTTAAAGTGACTAAAGTTTTTATTCTGTTCTTATAAATTTCAGTATCATCTATGCAGCTGAATGCTAGCTGAACATATGGTTTGAAATAAAATATTATTTACTGTTTGGTTATTATAACAATCAAAATTTACTTCATTATGCAAACAATAAAAATAGCCTATTTATAAAGTTCATAATCCTCATTAGAATTCTTAGAAGAAAGCTTTGAATAAAATTAGAAACTTCTTTAAATTTGGTTGCAGTCTTACATCATTTTGTGTGTGTGTGTGTGTGTTGGGGCAAGCCTCACTAAACCTGTGTCTTATCTCTGAATACATAACATTGCACTATTATCAGATGATATGAAACAAATCACTTGTATATATAATAACCTATATATGTAAATATCAATGGCTAGCTGATTGAGTTTGGGGAAGTTTATTTATTGCTCAAACTGTTACAAACCCAATTGATTTTCTTTAAAGTGGTGTCCCTGTTAGCTACTTACTGATTCATCTTATACAATTGCCAGATGGCAAAGCTAGATGAAGAGATCAGTTTACTGGCTTGGTTTTGAAATTTAGTGATTATATAAATTTGGAAAAAAATTAAAATCTTGCTAACATTTAAAAATACACTTCCCTGTTTATTAAATTTTACCTCTCAAAATGAAATTAATTATTAGGAACCACAAAACCTCAGAAAGATGTAGTTTACAATTATTGGGTATGTTAGTCTCTTTCTAAAATGGATGGTCATCAATTCTTCATGAATGCACAGATGGCAAGATTTTCTATTAGCACAAGACAAGCACCTCTGCATTTAACCACCATGCTCATAGGCTTCAGAAACAAAAACAACTATAATTTTAAAAAAATCAATAAGAGATCTTATGTGTTCTGATTTTCTGAGATGTATTCATTTTTTTGCAAATAAGACAATAATTATAAGGCATTAATATTTTTATAAAAGATATAGACGTACCTTTTTCCTGAAAAGATGCTGGAACAGTGCTGATCTGCTGTTTAATACAGCTTCTGGTACAGCTAAGATGGAGCTTTGCTACTATTGGCTGAAGCAGAATGCAGCTGACAGCTTCCTTTATGCTTATTTGCATTAGACCCCTACCCAGCGAGGAAATCATTCATAAATCTGAAATATATAAAATATCAGATTACATTCTACCTACTTTCTTAACCTCTTTAAAAGCTTATTTAACAATGAAATATATTTAAAAACAATGTGTTCTTTTTTGTTTTCATTTGCTTTGATATTTATTGTTTTAATATTTCAAGTTTCTTTTCTAATAGCAGATTAAGCTGGTGTAAAACATACATGTAGAGTCAAGATCTTAACAGAGGAGAATTATACATATGTTTTATACATAAAGATACCTTTTGATTTAACATTATTTTTTGTCTTCCACTTTATGATATAAGCTATTGAAATCTGTGAAATGAAAGCAATGATTTCTGAATTGGCTTCATAAGATTTCTTTTTCCATTTTCAATTGTCTTCAAGTCTACTTCTGTACTTCCAGTTTGTCATTTAATGAGATGATAGTTGTAAAAAACACAGTATGTTTAAACATTTTGTTCAGATTGATATATTTCTAAATCTGTAAACTGCTTTTTAGTAGCTCAGCATAACTGACAAAATGACAAGCACAAAATGTATGTGCAAAAGTCATATAAAATATTATAAAACAGAGTTGGAAAAAGGATATATTCTGATTTTTTTCAGTATTCAAAATTATTTTCAGTGAATTTTCTTGACCAAGCAAATAAATTGGATTTTTTAAGTGTTAAACCTATGAAAGAAATTTCAAATTACCTTATAAAATGAATTTAAGAGAATATTTGTCTTGCTGCTTGACCCTGGAATAAATGTAAACTTTCCTTCAAATCAAGCTCAATTCCTGAATACTGTATTATGTAATACATTGACAAATTCTTGCCAACTGTATGGGAGTGATATGCCATTACCTTCTAAGATTTATTTTTTCAGTTTCATTGTTTAGTTTACAAATCTGGCATTTCCTCATGATCTTCCATCCTAGTACCAACCAGGCTAAAAACCCTGTTTAATTTTTTCAAGTTCCAGCTAGTCAATTAGGTATTACTATTTATTTTTATTCAATGCATCATTTCAACTAGAACTAGAATGAAGCCAATATAAAATAAACAAATACAAAGTTATGACCATTGCCATTTTCTTCCTGTTGACCATCATTTTTTCCAGAAATAGTTTGTTATATAATATTTAAAATCATAATCTATCCAAAGCTTTTTTAAAGGGTCATTTTATGTTCTTCCTTTTGTCTGGACACTGTAGTAAAATAGCTTCACTGATTTGTATAGAACAGACATTTGCTTTTCTTGTACAATATTGATTATTTGGAATCTTTTGTATTTTCATTTAATTGCAACTGTTTTAACCAAAAAACATTGAGACAGTTTGAATATATTCCTTTTTTTCCAGTGAAGCTTTCAGTACCTCAAAACCCAACATCATTCTAGATCATCTGTTATGTTTCCAGTTCTTTTTCAGGCTAAGAAATTGGAATATATTATAGTTTGAGCTGATTCCATCTTAAGTAACCTGCAACCATGATAGTGTACACTGTATAAATTTTCCAGAAACCTCTTTTCCATTTTGTAGGTGTCTTCTATATCCCCCTCATTTTCTTAAATTACAATGTGTGAGCTTGAAGGGAGGGAGGGAGACAGGGGGAAAGAAAGAGAGTGAATTTCTTTGGGGGACACCAAACATAGATGTTTTCCTTGACACTGACTTTATTTCAGTGTAACTTTAATAAATTGCTTCTTGCATTTTTTATGATTAACCAATTGATTTAAATTCTGAATTATCCTGATAGCAGTTTCCTATCAGTAAAAATATATACATTCTTGTAATTCAGAATAAATCGAGAAACAATTTTCACACAAAGCTATTTTTGTGATTCTGTTTTTGCTTAATTTTTTTTTAAAAAACACCTCTGTTATTATTATAGAGACTTTCAGTTATCTGCATACGTGTCAGATCTGTTGTGTATTTTTAACAGAGAGTATTTTTAGGATGCTAATTTTGATTAAAGTGCATTAATTCATTTATTGAATAAATAGTTTTGCTGGTTTAAGTCCAGACCAAGGGATGTATAACAATATAGAAAACAATAAGAAGACATGTAGGTTTATATTTTTTTAGAGTAGCATGTGCTTTAAGAAATCCCAATTTTTCCAATTTTTTTAAGATTCAATAAAATTCTAATAAATTTATAACAAAATGAATTTCCCAATTTTCATGGAATAGCCCAATAAAGTATATTGGTCAATATTTTTATAGGTTTGGTTACAAAAGTATATATTTCACTATGCCTGACCCACAGAATGAGAGTCTGTACCATTTTTTTCCCTTTACAGACCACAGCAATGGAACTTTTAATTTGAAAGCTCTTTCTGGAGGCTCTGGCTACAAGTTTGGCGTGCTTGCAAAGATAGTGAATTATATGAAGGTATAATTTTGCTACCAAGTTTACTATGTGCACCTTTTATGGTTACCATATTTCAGCAGCAATATTTCAATATTGTGTGATGACACAAAAAGT